CAGAGGTGCTATTCAGATGATATCAGAAAACAAATCCAGAAGAGCAACTTCCACCTCTATGGTCCAACTATGGTAGATGAAGGTGGGATAGGTTTGTCATGCCTCCAAGATAAAGGATGTGGCAGCACCCTAACTCCCATTCCACTCCAGCCCTCCAGAGCCTCCTAAGACAAGAGCCATAGCCACAAGCTCTGCCTACATTGCACCACATTGTATTTTGCTAATTACAACTTTACTATTTTAATTCTACTTCCCATAAGAGCTAGAAGAATGTCTGAGTCAGCACTACTTTTTCCATAAGTTATAAAAATTCCTAGGAAATTTATGAGAGGTTTTGGGGGTTTTGTTGTTTGTTTTCTTTTGGATACAGGTCCCCGACTGAAGTGAGGTGGTGTTTCTCTGCTTCATTTAATTCAAGAAAAGCCAATAATGAATTATCCACTAGCAAGAATTATGGCAGATACTAATGGAATCTTATTGTATACTGATTTGAAAATCAGTACTAACCTTTTATAATCTAAAGCAAATGAGCATCCATTAAAAGGAGACAAGTAAAATGATACATTCAGATATTACTATAAAAACTAAATTTTTATCAGATCAATTATAAACAAAAAAATTACTAGAAACTAAAAAAATAAATAAAACACAACTGAAATAAGTAATAGACACTATAAATCTTCAAAATGTGTGCAAACAGATTTATAGCTTGATCCTATGAAATAATAACTGGCAGGCTATAAAATTGCTTAGAAAATGAGATATGTTATATTCTGCATAATGGAACTTGAATAACAATGAAAAGTGCTTGCTAAGGAATGGCTCTGTTTTGCTCATGTTCACTCTTTCCTACTGTATATAAACCCTTGGATTGATAGTATGCTCACRTTCTTTATATAGCCCTATGAACTGATTAAGCTAAGCACAAGACTCAAGGTATAAAGTTGCTAAATGGTTTACCAGATCATTCATCACTTTGCTGTAACACCATAGACAAGTCTGTTTCTGGATTTTCAAACCCAACTACCCTCTGCTCTAGAAGGGAGTCTATTGCTTAATATGGATAAGATCATTAATTTGTGTTGATCTTCAAATTTTAAAGCACAGTACAAATGTAGAAACAGAGTTCAAAAGCAGTGAAGGAAAAGGTAAGTGAGGATCACTGTTGAGCACAGACTCTGTTGGGTGAAAATCAAGCTTTCTTTGTAGTTTTCTACTTTATCTTTGACAGTGCAACTCACTGGTGGTAATTTTGATACAATCCATTTTCACCAAAAACATTTGTTGAGGTTTCCCTATGTGTCTGGTGCTGTTATAAAAGCTTAGTGTATTAAATCATATAAGCTCATGAATTTACAGAGAGAATGTTATTATGAATCTCTTTTTGCAAACAAGGAAATAGAGGTAACAGAGATATTAAATATCTCACTGCAGGTCATAGCTAAGAAAGTAAGAGTCTAGATTTTGTCCCAGGCAGTTTGATTCAGGCAAGATCAACTCTAAGGCCAAATTAGAAATATTCTAGGAAGACTCATTTATTCAGATGTTTTTTGTGGATCAACACTCTCCTAAGCATTTTGTTCATAATAACTTATACATTAGTTATGAAAACCTATTAAATAATTAATCATTGACCAATTTTGAAGATAAAATTTAATTAGAAGTATAGTAACTTGCTTATTGTCATATGAGCAATAAATAGTGCATACAGAATTAGTCTACCGGACTTCAAAGCCCATGCTACTGACAAGGAGAATATATGACCTCCTTTTGTTATCTGACAACATTGTGAGATATATCAAATAGAGAAATCACAGCTTTTTGCCCATACCAAACCTTCTTTTGCATTTCAAAAATCATGTACTGCTTTTGCACAATAAATGGGGAATCAGGCAAATGTTCTCAGAATGAAAATAGACAGCTTATTTAAACTCTGAATTCACAACCAAGCCCCCAGAGTTTTGAGACACCTCTACCAACCTGAGCTTTTTTGGCATGAAGAAGAGCCCTGGGAATCTATTGAAATCTCAGGCAAAGTTTCCTGTGCATAGGCACTTCACAAAGGGGATAGGAAAGGGCAGAGGTAAAAACATTTTTAAAAAATTATGCCAGCCAAAGCATTCTGCTGAATGCAAAAAATATTAAACATGTCTTCACATATGGTCAAGTGTCAATGACTCCAAGAAATAGGACAATCATCATACTTTGTAACCAGTGTACCTCTCTTAACTTTGACCAAAGTGGTCACTTTATCCCTACTACTTTTTACCTGCATTCTGCAATTTAAGTAGACATCAATTCTATCATTTATAGTAAGTTCTTCCTGGCTGTTGCCCATTGTGTAAGAGCCTTTTTATCATGTTATTATTTTATGTAATTTTCAGATTAAAGGAACACACACAAAAATTTATTCATAAATTAATTGGTTAGCTAGACCAATGATACAAGGCTTATTATAAAAGAAATAATATTATTAATCAAGTTTAAATCTCATAAATCAAATGGAACATAATCAATTGCTAATAAATCAGCAATATTGTTATTTAGAAAGGATTTTTTTAAAATTGATGTTCATCTGCACATACATGCAGAAGCTTGCCTTGTGATTCAGTATTTAATAACTGTCCCTATGCAATTGATCAAAGGACCCTTAGTTCATTGCTTTAGAATTCTTGGGTGATATCAGTTTCTTTCACAATCAATCTGTTTTCAAGTTAAGTAACTTTGATCATTTTCTAAGACATGGACATCTCCTCTTCCTGTATGTGCATATAAAAAATAAATCATTTCTCCTCTTTTAAAAGCAAACAAACAAACAAAACCTTTTTTCTGAGTAGATTTCTAGCAGGGAACCAATTCTGTGAATCATAATTGCTACAGTACACTATGCAGCTGAGTTTGACCTTTTATAGAAGAAACAAAAAAAGGAATGAGAACACCATGGTTTTCTGTTCTTTATTCCCACAGAAGACTTAATGCCCATCCCTGATTAAAATTATATTTTTCAAAGACCCTCTTACAGCAAAATTATTTTAGTATGTATTCCCTGAAAGATAATTAAATAGCAAAAAGTGATAATAATATTGTAATAGTGCTTAATTTACAGAGTAGTCATGAGGATTACATGGGATGATATGTGTAGAGTGTTTCATGTGATGCTTACACATAGTGGGCACATTATAAATGTTCAGTATTGATATGGAGTAGGTTAATTGTTCCAGATACCTTCCTAAAGAACCTTATTGATACTATTGTCCTGTGAGCAAAGTACCACTAATTAATAGATAACGACCATGCCTGAATTTCTAGACTATAAATGTCTCTAGGTTTCAAATAAATATATACAATGACCAACTAGACCTCTCCATTTAGATTCCCAAGCCACACACCTCGGAATGCTAAAAATAGAGGTTTTCATATCTACCAAACCAAATGCAATTGAACTCCTTTCAGAAATTTGGGAATTACCCCCAGACTTCCCCTCTCTAACATCATATATCTAATTAGTTTCCTAGTACTTGGATTCAACCTCCTAAATATATGCCATATCCATTCCCTTCTTCAGTAAATTACTGCCATTGGTGTAACTCAAGACCTTATCAATTCTTCCTTGTATGACTACTGCTTTCTTTGTAGATTGGTTTCTTAGGCTCAGTTCCACCTCTAATTTATCTTCTATGCTTCTACTCCAGCTGCCAAATGAAATCTGGCCATTGTAGTTCCTTGTTGAAATAGTTTGGTGGCTCTCAGTTAATTTCAGGATAAATACCAACTTCCTTAATATCTGGATCTCATAGGGCACAATAAACATAACCTCCTTACCTTGTATAAACCGTAAAAATATTGAGGGGAAAAAAAGCAAATGAGGAATAGATAACTATGATGTCTCTCTTATTACTAATGAATCTATGTTGGAGATATGGTTTATTCTTGCAGTCAAATGAGCTTTCTATTTTTTGTTAAATATTAACAAAAATGTAAACAAAATTTGAATGTAAACAAAATTTAAGCTTTATTGACAGATAGTTTTGCCTCTACGGTATACAATCAAAATTATATATTTTCAATTCACTTGAATATTTCATTTTCACATAGGTCACTGACTGAATATTGGCTCATTTTTTCACTTTTAAATTTTTGTGTTTTTAAAATATTTGATTCAACAATGTTTACTAATTATGTGAAACATTTATATTTGCAAGAATAAAGCCACTATTTTAGAAGCTTTTCTTCTAAAATTTGCATGTATTCTGTTCCTGTATTTTTATTCCTCTACATACTTAGAAAAACTTTGGCATAATCCATACATAGTTCTTCACCTGGCTCTTCATTTCAGAAAGCAACCAGTTGGTAAAGCAGAATAGAAAGATCTTCCTCACTCAGTTTACAGGTATGGAACACAATGCCCTACAGATGAACCATAATGCATTCACCTGTGGGTGGACATTTAAACTATTTCCAAGTAGAACTTTGAAGAACAGCTTCTGAATCCACAAGCATGCATACTTAATGCCCACTTAAACTAAGAAAATATGTATTAGGTTCAGCAGTAAAGGTTACTGGGCATGGTGATGGTAATATTTATTTTTTGTTGTCTGACTACCCTTTACCTTTCATTCCATCAAAATCATAGTGATGGCTATTGTCCAGTTGGAAACTGGGGTTATCTTTCTTATTCAGATGGGAGTGGGAGTCCTTGGAAATATCTCCCTCCTTTGTCTTTATAACTTCACTTTGCTCACTGGACACCATGTAAGCTCCACAGACATGGTCCTCAACCAACACGTATTAGCCAATTCCTCTGAAATTTTCTCTAAAGGGATCCCTTAGACAGTGGCAGCTTTTGGACTAAACTCCTTCCTGAATAAAGCTGGATGTAAACTTCTTTTCTATTTTCAGAGTGGCCAGAGGGGTGTTTCCCTCAGCACCACCTGCTTCCTCAGTAGCTTTTAGGCCATAAAACTTTACCCCAATTTCTCTAAGTGGATGGAGCTCAGAATAAAAATATGGAACATTTCACAAATTTGCATGTCATCTTCATGCAGGAGCCATGGTAATATTCAATGCATCATTAAAATTTGAGTATATGTGCTTTATTAACGTTGAATCCACAATAGGAAAATCTCCTTCAGATCCCTAGGGGATGTTGAACTAGAGTAATTTTCCTACCTGGAGAAACACCCCTAGTTGGTTGCACCTTTATGAGGAGGAATGATGCAGTTGTCTTCATATTCTCATTTAATCTTTAAATGTTTACCATTCAGATAAGTCTTTCCCCACAGACCTTTTGGTTATGGCTTAGATATGAGGTCTGCCCCAAAACCTCTATATGTGAGAAAAGGTAAGAAGGTACTTTCCTTTGTCATGCCCTGGAACCATGTCATTTGGCCTCACCTCAGACCCAGAGCTATGGAGTCTGCTTACCATGGACTCAAACCTCCGAAACCAGGAGCTAAAATAAACGTTTCCTGCTCAAAATTTTTCTTGTCAGGTCTTTTGACTGCAGTGAGGCAAAGCCTAAAGAAAACATATTTAAAGGAGATGAGTAAAGCTGAATGTGTCACTCCATTGGATCTCTTTCACACTGAATGAGGAAACATTCAGTGAGTTATCTCCAAATGATGAATCTGGTAGATCACAGCTTTTGTGAGTCCACATCCTCTGACTCTCTCCACCACCCATTCTGGGTTCTATCAATTTCAAATTGTTTCATGGATTGTTAGCAGGTTTTGTAAATCCAAAGAAGAAGAGTGGAGAATATTCTGTGGTCAAATAATTTTTAAAAAATGATGTATAAATAGTTAAAACAGTTTTTATCACTGTACTTTTTTTTCAGATTCTACACTATGCTAATGAGGATTACAACTTTCCAACAAGGAAATAAAGTGCTTCCAATTCACAGTAGGTTTTTTTCTGAAATACTCTTTGGAAAAAACGCTGCTGTAGTCAAATTATTGCACGTGCAGTTGGGAATACCTTGTTGCTCATGCCCATGCATCTAAGCCACCGGCCATCCATCCTCACTCTGTCAAATGTCCTGTCCATTGCCACTTGACCAGCTCTCCATGACCTTTATAAATAAAAGGTCACCWCTTAACCAAAAACCAAAAATCACCTCTTACCCTCTCTCATACACTAGACTCTCCTCCTTGATTTCCTTCATGTTTCTTCAGCATTTCTGGCTCTTACACCCTGTATTGATATTCTTTTGTTTGGCTTTCTGTCTTACCAAATTAGAGATACTAGAAGTTAAAAATAGTTCTATTATCTTTGCATCTTGAACAGCATGTAATGTTGCAAGCATTTGATAAGTAACGATAGAAAGAAGAATGAGCTGGGATTTACTTGGGTATCATTTCTGGTTTACCTGATGTGCGAAGTGTGCCAGCTGCCCAGCTCCCTACTCTAGTTTCAACACTTGCCATATTCCAGCAGTCAAAACTGCATTCAGCTCATCCCTCTTGTTGTTTCTCTGGCCTTCCTTGATAGTGTTTTCTCTTTCTGAATCTCCCCAAACCTTACACTTACTTAACTCCTTATCTATTTTTACATTAAATCAATTTACTATTTTTAGTTGAGCATTCTGTGTAAATGCAGAGACCACATCTATTTTGTTTACTTAGTACATCTCCATTATATAATACAGAGCCTGACATATCATAGGTAAGCAATAAATAGTCATGGAATGAGTGAACAACTAGTTAAGATCCTCATCCAGGCTCTGGGTGCCAGTCTATTTAGAATTTTATAACATTAATTTCATCAATGTCCTACTACATGTCCACTTTTAGGTAAGATGATGGGTGTATATTTTATTTTTACTTTCCTTTCCCTGTTTCTGGTGCTTCTGTCCACTGTTTGTCACTCTGCATGCTAGGACACGACTTACAAATCAATCCCTACCCTCCTCTGCTGCCATCTTCGTGTACAAATTGTAGCTTAAAGGTCCCTCGGGTTAACTAGAGCATACAAAAGTCAGAGAAACTCTACATGGGTTTGTTTCTGTTGACATTAAAATAGTGGGTCACACTACAACCAGGAGATTCATGTGGAAGTGGCAATCTGATATATTTCTTCAGAGAGCAAAACAATTACCGATAAGCAATTTTCTTTCCCAAGAGACTAGTAAAGTGCTTTCTTTCTGTCACCTTTCAATATTTTATATTGTGGTGAGTAACTACACCTTTTCTATCCAATTAGGAAAGCCATCAACAAGCCAAAGAGTAAATAGCTAACCAGTCAAGTAAAAAAAAAATATGCAAGTGTACGGCAGCATGCCATCATTTTTCAAACTTGACCTTACGTAGCAATAGTAAAACACATCCTTTTCAACAGATGTGGAGGCCATCATATTGATATAATTACTTTCCTTGCACTTAATATTTACTTATTGGAAATTGTTTTGATATTATTTTAAAAGAGGAACAGTGTTAGACTAAAAGCCTTAAAGGAAGTGAAAATTATAGAACATAACTTCATGGAACTACAATGGCTTCCCTAAATCAAGTATATTGTTCGATCAACTTTGAGATCAGGATTTCAAAATTATTTTCTTCTATTTTTAAAATGAATGCAATTTTACTCCAGAAAATTTGCAAAATAAATATGAAAATGATCTGAAACCCCACAATCTAAAGGTTTGAAGCATATAAGGATAAGGTTTATATAAGCATTTGGATTTGTGGATGACAGGAATTTCCTGTGATTGTCAACTCCTCAATGTGCAAACAAGGTCTTTTATATTCTAGCCCAGACTTCCCAGAAGCCCTGACTTCTCATTTTTTAGAGTTAAATAAAGAAAATTAAAGTACCTACTACTAAAAATTAATATTATGATGATAATGATAAAGTTATATAAAAAGTTACAATTTTAAAGTTTAAAATGTTTCCCAATTATCATGGTGAATATGTCCATTGATGAAAATTTATAAAATATGGAAAAAAGAGAGACCAAAATATTACCCATAAGCTACCAGCCACGTTAACCAATATTAATGTTGTAAGATAGCCTTTCATAATATTTTTAATATGTTCTTAGACATCCTAAACTAATGTAGGTATTTAATTTAAAAATATAAAAAAACACACTCATAATAACTCAAGAGTGTGTTGTATAGAAACAGATGTCAGAGACTGTGAGCAACCAACGATTTGATTATTTCTCCATCTCATTATTATTCCCTGAAATTTGATCATTACCCATCAAGTAGACTCAGAGTTACTGGGGAAATATACACTGGGTATATCTAACTGTGGTAGGAAGTAGTATATTTCCTTCCCTTTGCATTAATTTCCTTCATGTAAATTAATGCCCCCTAAATAGTATATATTTCATGTATTTATTTTGGTCTGTTATCTTTTGCCACATCTCTAGAATATGAGCTTTGTGAGTTAGATAATTTTAAATATTTTGTTTATGCGTTTATAGATGCATAAATCCCTAGCATTGAGAATGGTGTCCGGTTCACTGTAGTTACTCAGTAAATATTTGTTCAGTGAATGAATGAATGAACATAATGAATATATGTGTATCTTACCTAAATTAGGTCAAAGATGTTCTTGGTGATTTTCCGTGTACAGGAAACTGTGACACTTTAATGACGGCAGTTTGAAAAGAAGACACAGGCATTTTGCTGCCAGGGTCTCTGCAGTCTCTGTTTCCTGCCTTCCTGAAGCTTGGTTTTCAAACCTTTAGCTCTATGAGTTACTAAGACAATTAACCAAGATGGTCTTAATCATCAGTTTGATTAGATGGCTTGTTCCTGACTACAGGTCTCTGCCCTCCTTTACTTAGAGCATTTACTTTAGAACACTTGCAACTATGAATTCTTTCTCTGCCCCTTGAGATGTAAATTTTGTCCCAGACTCTTTCCTGTTTTACAACCCAGAAATGTCTCTCAAGCACCTGGGAGTTATCGCTCTGAAATACAATCAAAGATAATAAAGTCCCTATCTTCCAATTTGTGAGGTAGAACCCTAACTTGAATAAGCACGAACCAGCAAACAAAAATGGCTTAATTACATGGATTGACCTTCCTTCTAAAGTCCCGTATTTTTTCAGTAGCTCACCCCAGAGCTTAAAACTCACCTGCCTTTTGTTTAAAGAAGTTGAATTCACTCTTTCTCCTCTGTGCATTATATTGACCTCTATTACAATTCCTGTTTTATTCTGTCTGGTGCATTTTTTCTTTGTTATAATCTTGAATTAAATTGTAAATTTTGATTAAACTACCCATATTCAGTTCTCTTGACTAAGAAAAGGAGCACTACTTCACACAAAGAATCTTAATGAAATATCACTTAGCCTCATAGGAAATGGAACTGGAACACCACTTAGGGATAAAGGAACTTTATGAAATACGACAGTGAGAGCCATGCATATTGTCACTCTCTAGTGCCACCTTTTCCTTTTTGATAAGAGTTTCTATATTCCTATTTGCATGAGCCTTGGAAACAAACTGAAGTTTTTTGTTTGTTTGTTTTGTTTTATTGTACTTTGTTATTCTGCAAAGATGTTTTCAACTTCATGACTTTTCCTTCTGGATTTGTTTCTGTTCCTGCATGATTTTGGCTTACCAATGGCCATTATGCTCTTACCCCATGAATTTGCTCTACAATTTCACCTTTTTATTCTCAGTACTATCTAATTCATGCTATTTTTTTTTTATCTAGTTTGAATTGCTAAGAGAAAATATACATCATATCCCTTCACAAGGGTCCACTTCATGTTTTATTGGCCAATCTATGAATCAACTTACTTAGGTCAATTCTATCCCCAAATTAAACTACATACATTCAAGAGAGTCAAGATACTTAAAAATAAAAACTGTTTATCCATGGTCCACTCACTCATGTTGAGGGCTGTCATCTAAAGATGGTAGACACTGTGTTGTTCAATTGTTGTGCATTCTACCATTGGATTGCCAGAGATATACAACTTTCTTCCTATGCATACAGTGCCAAAGATGTTATTTACCTAACATGACACTCCTTACCTAACATAACACTCCTATCAAAATTCAATGTATCTTCACAGCTTCCAATCAGATGATGCACCAACTCATGTAAGCCTTCATATAGAAAAAAATATCACAATATCACTG